GTCAGTGAGATGAGGAAAAAGACGACCTGGCACCTCTGTAACGTTATTTTAATGCAACATAAACTATATCGATATTAACGATATTGTCTTATCCTATATCTTGTTTGAAAATATATCGATACATCTTAAAAACTCGATATATTGCCCAGCCCTAATTCACCTCTAAATTATTAACTACAATCCAACAAAATCTGTAACACCAGCCTAATGGACTCAACATCCCTAAGATACTTTACACCATTATAATTATCGTGCTTGTAGGACTGCAGGCAGTATTTGACTGTTATTGTTTTAAGAAGCTAAAGGACTAAGAACCGACGGTCACACATGTAGAATGGCAAACATAAGCTTGAGCTAAATTTCTAGATCAAGTACAAGAGTGTCTATGATGTTTGTTAGATTAAAACAGGATATGTAAATAGTTTCCAAGCTTCATTCTAAATGTCATTTATTGTTGAAGAACCTTGTATTATCCTGCTGTCAATAAACTGCAATCAACAGAATCTTCTTGTGCATTCAGAAGCATGATTCTGATTTATTCATTTTTTCCTTCATTTTTCTCTCTACAGATATGCCAAGTCTAAAGCTGATATCTGCGACCGATACACAGTATTCAACAGCTGTTCTGAAGTCCATGAACGAGCAGCGGAATCATGGGTTGTTTTGTGACGTCACCATTATTATACAGGACAAGAAATTCAGAGCTCACAAAACAATCCTGTCTGCTTCAAGTACATATTTCCACCAGCTCTTCAGTGTGGCTGGACAAGTGATTGAGTTGAACTTCATCAGAGCAGAAATCTTCGAAGAGATTCTCAACTACATTTACAGCTCCAAGATTTTCCGTGTCCGCTCTGACATGCTTGAGGAGCTCATTAATGCTGGACAAATACTCGGTGTCAAGTTCATTGCAAACTTGGCATCCCCTTTATCACAAGTCAAAGGCCTACCTGGTTTGTCTAAAGAGGTGGAAAACAAAAGTGGCACATCCGCAGAGATGATGCCGATGATCACAGAGTCTTTCTCAATATCTGCGGAGGAATTCAATCAGACAAGCAAACCTGCAGGGAATGACGACGACTCGGACAGTGATGTTATGTTTGTCTCAAAAACAGATGCTCAAACAAGAGCGTCAAATCAAAAAACTCCCTCTGGTGAGGTGATAGATCTGGATTCAGGTGAATCAGAAGATGTTGCGTCAAAGAAAAGTGAAGAATCAAATGATTCCAGTGAAAAACAGAAAGAGAAAGCCAGAGTAACCTTGAAAACGTATTCCGCAAAGCCTCGGAGCATCAGTTGTACAACCCAGAGTTTGCCAAACAGCAGTCCTCTGCGCAGTCCAGACAGCAGCTCCAACAACTCCTCTTCCCCCGCAAGAGTTCTCTCAGAAAGTGCTCCTGCAACACCTGTAAGGTCGAGCAGTTTCACCCCCGAGCCCTTGAGTGCCTCTCAGTCATCTGAAAATAGTGACATAATGGGAGTCCAAAAGAAGCATGTTGCTACTTCAACCCAGCAAGGTGATTTCAAAATAAGGCTCCTAGATGTGGCTGGCCCCGCAAACCAAACAAACATTGTCAAATCAGGTATAGCAGCAAAGAAAACGGTGACACTCAATACAGCCACAGAGATTGATTCAATCTCATCAGGCTGTAAAGTGTATGCTAATATTGGAGAAGATACGTATGACATTGTCCCAGTGAAGGAGGATCCAGGGGAAGGAGGCTCTAAAGCCAATAAAGGGAAGAGGTTAATGGCAACGCCTTTAAAACTGTGTGATAAAACAGAAGCGTCACTGAACACCAGCCCAAACAGGAAGAAGAACAAACTAGAGCTCGAGGATCACTACGAGCTGATCATGGATGGGAAGACCTTCTACGTGTGTATTGTCTGCAAGCGCCCCTATGTGTGTCTGACGAGTCTCCGTCGTCATTTCAACACCCACTCGTGGGAAAAGAAGTACCCGTGTCGCTACTGCGACAAGGTCTTTGCTCTGGCCGAGTACAGAACTAAACATGAAATCCACCACACAGGAGAGAGGCGGTACCAGTGCTTGTTGTGCAATCAAATGTTCCTAAACTACCAGGTACTCTCCACCCACTGCAAGGCGGCCCACAACCAGGATCCCAGCGGGAGGAAGGAGAAAGACGACAAGGACAACAACTTATACCGATTGCTGCCGTGTAAAACAGTGCAGATGAAGTCATACTCTTGGACGACCGGTGGGGAGGGGGTTCCTGTCATATCTGAGGATGGCAGCGTGCATCACATAACCAGCGTCAGCGGAGACATGCAGTCCTCCACACAGACAAGGATGTTGAACTGGGATGACATCTTTGTCGAGCCTGACGCTAACCCTGGTCCACGGTCAACTATGAACTCTCCTCCTCAGGGAGCCACAGAGTTTGACTTTGTAATACCAGAGACCTACTGAGCTACACCTGTGCTCTGGTATCTGTGCCTTTTAGGTGCCCCATCCCCACAACCATTTTCCTCTCTGTGGTTTTTACGTCATTAATGTTCTTTTGTAATTCTCCATAGTGTCAGCATCAAGTAGTCACTCTGTTTATCAAAGTGTTTTGAGCTATACTCAGCTCAGAGCTTTGCTAGTCAAATTGGAGTTGGCTGTTAAGTAAGAAGCTTTGATTCTTTTTGACTTTTCCTATTCCTGTATCAGTGAGCACATGTCTCATGTTTTACCTTTATTGGACTTCAATAAGCTACAACTGTCAGCCTGACTACACATTTATGCTAGTAGTGTTTAAGCCTTGTTTCTTAAATTTTTTAACTTCACCATCTAAACAGATGAAGGATTTAAGGGAGGCAGACAGCTCCTATCCAACGCGCCTCTAAAAGCAGATAGATATTAATTTGATAACTTGAAATCAAGCAGTGTACCAGGAAATAATGAAATAATGGTTCTTGGTAAAAGATTTACGAACGATGGAAACTTTTTGAGATTTGTAAATGTTTCAGCCTGTAATGCTGCTGCTATTGTGCAGCTCTGTGTACAATGACAATGACAACGCTTAATAAATCAAAAGTCTTAAGATTTGACTTTGAATGCTGAAACAACTTAGACATAACATCTCAATCCATGTAAGAGGGAGATAGAGCAAAAAGTGGCATTATGAAAGTGAAATAAGACGGCACCTTAATGTAACTCAGCTAGTGTAATCATTTTTTAAAAATGTTTTTATCAGTGATAAATCATCATTTGCAAAAAATATTAACATCTTAGAAGTCATGAAAAAAAACCTCTGAAATAGAAGTAGGGATACTTATTCTAAAATGGTAATAACCAGGTGACTCTTGTATCTTTCAGCACTGGATACACCCATGCATGTGGTTCATCTGTGTAAATGAAATACGCCTAGTGATGAAATAAAAGGTTTCTCTATTTAGTCCGTCAATAATATCAACTTTGTGGGCCAGATTGACTCGACTCATTCCTGTTTCCTGTTTACAACTTGTTTCTGTACAAAAGAATATGAATTCTTTTCTGAAGTATAGTTTTTCATTTTGTGAACATTGATGATCCGGACTATGTGGAAGAAGAATTAGACGTTTAACTCTCCAGTGGCTGGAAGAACAATTTGTTTTGTCCAGGAAACAACTTCTGTCTTATTCTAATACACCTGTACATTTTTATTTCTGATGTTGAAACTTTTTTTCTTCTAAATTGGATGCTAAAATGTGCTGACCGCATAACATAGGGTAGGGATTTTCTATTATTGTGATCTTAGAATTAATATTTTAAGAGGATATCCACAGCTTGACCATATAGCACTTAGAGTTGGGTCAGACAGAAGACTTTGTAAAGACTGTTACCTTTTCACTTTATTTTTTTCCATTGTTGTCAAATTGTAGTGATTGATCAGTGTGATTGGGAAAAATTTGTGATAACATGGATCCATTCTGTTTAATTCAATAAAATCCGTACAGGCTGTTTTTTTAATTAGCAGGTTATAAATTATGTGAATTTTTAATTTTGTGTAGGTCAATTTAACAGTTTCAGATGTATTTAATATGTTTAAAATAGATTGTAATTAACCAGTTCTGCTGGTGTGGCATTGTACAACAAAGGTTCATTTTGTCATTAAGCTAGCAATAAGGGTTCACTGATGGTAAATAAATTATTCTTTTACTATTTCTAACTTAATTGTCTTGCTCTACCAGCTTGTTCAAATCTGCTACTTTCAGAAGTGGGGTGAGTCGATGCAATGTTGCTTCTTCTGCAGCATCCAAAGGTGAAAAACAATGAAAATCTTGATAATGATCAAAATGTAATTACAAGCAAAATAAAACAAACAAACACAGGTAAACAAACAGACCTCATCACACCTTAGTAAATAAACAAAGACCTCTTTCCTGTGATCTGCTGTCCCTAAAGAGCCTTCAACCCATGCTTGGTACTCTGATGTAGTTGAGGTCAACAACACTAGTCCACACCCATGCTAACATCTGGTCATGGTGCTCTGATTGAAATACTACTGCTAACTTTCTCACTAAAACAATGTTGACATGCTCATGCTTAATGCACATACAGATACAGATGAGGCTTTGTTTGAGGGTGTAAGACTTAAAGCAAAGATTTTGCAGATTGAGTGTTTGACCAGAAGATGGTGCCAAATCGTAGGGTTGGACAGCTTTATCTTCAGGCTTCATACAGTCTTGGGAATCAAATGTAAGTACTTTCAGGTTATCTGGAGCAAAAAAATGTGCAGACTCACATAGCCTCCATCCTTACTTCATAATAGGGTACTATAAATGGCAAGTTAAATTTAAAAGTTTAAATTTAAACTGGAGGTGGTCAGCCTCATGACCCCAGTTTACGAGTGACACTAAACTTAACCCTCTCTCATTTCATTGCAGATGTCAGTCATTGTAACTCTGTTCGTCTTATTAGACAGGAAAAAGACAGCAGGATGTTTTCCTTACACATTTTAAATATGTGACTGTGAAGATGAAGCTGCTGATTATGTATGAATTCAAATGCACAATTGAATTTCAGCATTTCTGTAATTTTCAAGCAAGAACATGGTATTTTGATAAATGAAGTGAGCATCAACTTCACATGAATCAATTAGCACCGATCGAGACATTTCACCAACATCCAGAAATTCTAACCTTGTAGTGGCACTACATGAAACGTACAGGGATCAACAAATCCAGTCAGATTCATCCTCTGGGATACTACTGTATATATGTCTATTCAAAGTATCATCTTTATTCATCCACCTGTTGAAAATGTGGTGAGCCAATGGACACTGCCATCATTGGAGCTACACTTGTTGCTCAACACGAAGGATCAAACACCATTTGAAATGACACAAAACATTTTTAATGGCAAGACAAAAAGGAACTGATAATCAGCCCCTGAGAATGTGTTCTTTAAATTATAAAAAGCAGTGATAAAAGCTGAGGAAGACCAATTCTAATTTACACGATTATCCTCTGTGAGTTCTTATTTTTTGAAGTCTTGAGTCTCTACCTCGGGTCAGTGAATCCAGCACTGACTGTTCACAATCAGCCTTACTAGTAACAACACATTTTGGCGTTTAAATGTAATTATTATCTGTACTTACAAAGAGACAGAGACTGTATATGTTTACCTGCATTGCAGCCTTTAGTGAAAATACAATAAATATGGTTTCTAGAGTAACTGCTAGCCATCCTGATTTTACTTCTACTGCTGAATAAGTTATTTCTTCATAAACACTGCGCTGCAAAGTTCCCCATACAGTGTACACTAATCGAGATATGTCTGACGTTAAACTTAAGAGTTGCTAAATAGATATCATAATCATCTGATGTATACCATAAGCCTATCTGTTGAAAGAGCATCTGTATTATATCATACTGCTGTACATACATCATTAGCATGAAGTAGCTCCAATACTGCTAACCTCGTCTGCTAGTAATGCACATCGACATCATTAACTGCTAAAGAAACAACTGTTGGGCCTACAGCTCTACAATGTTTGATTTTCCTGACTGACTCAGATTAAGAAAGCTTGAAGCTGACTCTCTTAAAGGTTCGTAGCGCTGCTAATGAGTCTAGATCCTGGAGGAGAAATAGAGAGGATATTATCGCCTGTATCACCTGCAGCAGAGAAGCATTCACATTACATTAAGAACTAAAGAGAGGTTAACAAAAAGCATGAGCTGCAGGAGAGTTGTTCACCTTTAAGTCCAGCTGACATAGAACTGCAGCACTGGAAGTCCATTTTGCATTAAGGCAGACAGATGTGAATAAAGTCCTGGCTTTGAACCTGCTGTCTCCCTCTCTCTTGATGTGTTTATGCACACACACACACACACACACACACACGTACACAACGTGCATGCGTGAGTGTACTTAGTGCTCAGACAAACACACACTGTTGTGTTTTGTTTTGGATTAAAGTCAACGTTAGCGTGCTGCGTGTCCATTCTCCTTCTCCCACTCGTGTTTCAACTCAGTCCTCAGCGACTGTGAGGAAGAGCCCAGAGGAACTGTGCATTCAGACTATTTGATCTCAAACTTCCTGCTAAGTGTGACGTGCCCTCTGTGTTAGTTGCCATGTTAGGGGCTGTACGGCGGGGGCTTCTCATCAGGATGGTTGTGGGGAGGAGAGTAGCGTGGAGGGATCATAGTGGGCCACAGGTGGCTGGTTCCAGACTGGGAGTCATCTGACAGACCTGAAGAGTCAGGGAACAAATAGGTGCCCTGCAGGAAAGGACACATGTTCAGTGGAATGACTTTTTTTATGTCTTTGAATTTCGAACAATGAGTGCTCCTCCTGAATATTCAATCATTAACATTGTTTGTCCCCAGTGGGGAAACTGGTTGCAAAGGAAATTTTACTTAATATATAGGATATCATGCAGTACTGCAGGTTAATATTGACTCTGTACCTGCATGTCATAGGCAGTGTACGGTGGCAGGCAGGGGGCAGTGTTGTAATAGGAGTTGATGGAGGTGGTGGGTCGAGGAGGCTCAGATGGGACAGGAGCTGTCATGGCCTCTGGTTCAGATGAGCTCTCTAAGGCAGCAGAGGGAGTCTAAAGGACAAACACATAATGATCAGTGTCTTTCAGTCCTAAAATGACTTTACACCAAGTTTTCTCTCAAGTTAAAGGGAAAACGTCAATCACCAAAGACTAGGAACATTTATACCCACATGATGACTAACATAAAGCATGATTTTTTTTTTTGGTCCAGTGAAAAAGTCATTAAAAGATAAAAAAAAGATATATAATTGGCTGAGAAATGTTATTACAAATCGTTCTTCTACTGCATTTTATCAAGTGTTTGTCCGTTCTTGAAATTTCGAAGAATAGAACAACATGTTTGCATAAATCAAAGTTTTAAGCAATGCTTATGAAATTTTCCACTACACTTTGTAGTCCAGGCCGCTTGAATGCTAGCCGGCTGGCTAGCAAGCATACAAACGATCTCCTCTGAGGATCTTATCTGGAGACAAAATAAGAGTGCTGTTGGATGCAACAGGAAAATGGTATATCAGTGGATAATGATCTGAAATGTAAAGGTTGCATACTATCCTCATTTTCAACCAGTTTAAATAAGTCTCAGAGCTCCCCAAAACATGTCAGGGATGTTTCTTGCTCAAAATCAATTCTGATCCTGCATTTGATCAGGCCTATAAACCTCTCTATTTCAGCCCTGCTCAGAACAGGCTGTTTCTGTGCCTGTAGCTTTAAATGCTAATGAGCTGTTTCTAACCACGCCCCTCTATGGATGGCCTTTGTTGTCTCAGGATTTTTTTTTAGAACCATGTCTTATTGATTATGGTGAGAAAGCAGACTCAGAGGGCAGAACAAACACCTAGCTGTGGGAGTGTCGCCCACCTGGGGGGAGGGGTTACTGCCCTTTGTGACATCATGAAGGGAAAATCTCCACACAGCCTGTTAGAGCACACATTTTCTGAAAAGTGGAGCAGGTAAAAGACGTAGAGGATGAACTTTACCCAAAATGGGGGGGTTTGTAAACAGATTAGGGACACATAGTGTTATGATTCCCTGAATCCATTTTCTAGTTTTGTAACATTTTAAGAGTTTTGAAAGATTGAATTAGGAAACTGAAATACTTAATAAGGCCTCCACTGAATATTTACCAGTATATTGCCTTTTAGGACTTTTATGTACCCTGGTGAAATGTGCAACACACAACCTTAAAAATCAACTCATTCTGACAAATATAACTCTTTGCTACATTAACTTGATCTACCATGTCTTTGAAGCCTCCCAGCACTGCAGCAGTAATGATGCCCAGGAAGAGGGCCACGATGTTGAGGATGGTAGCAGACCATAACAGGTGGTAGAGGTGCACCACATCCTGGCAGCTCCCCACGTCCGTGTACTCATGGTAGCCTCCAATTACCTCTACTCGGCTAGCCCAGTGGGTGGGACAGAGAGGGGAACAGCTAACAGTCAAGCCACAGAAATCACTGATAACATTGGTGAGTATTTTTATAAAGGACAAGATGAGGTACATAAGATGATTCATATAGATAAATGAGTTTACGTCTGTAAAAGATGGATGTCTGTGGTTCAAAGTAAAACAGACATGGGTCGAGGACATGCAGAGGAAATGGCACCCAAAACCACATTTCAATGGTGGGTTAAATTATAAAAACTCTACATAATAACTAAGGTTCAATTAAAAAGTTCATCATTAATGGCCAAAAATGTTCTAGAAAAAAGGGACCTACTTCCAAATCATGGATGATTTCCTAAACTTTTTCAAAACATCTTTATTCTGAAGTCCCATAAGAGGATGTTCTCTGAAACAAAGGTTAAAAGAAAAGAAACAGTCTTGTTCTAATACAATCAATGTTGCAGTGCAAAATAATCTCCCACAAAAGCACAGCAAAACAGCACAAGAAAGCAGGTATGGACGTCAGGTGTGTGTCAGGTGTACTCACTTCCCGCATTTGTAGAGCTCACAGCAGTAGCAGGTGTTGCTCTTTACATGCAGGTTGCAGGGTGAGCGTGATGATGTGTGACAGGGCACCTGAAGGTCAAAAAATGATCTTATAGTCTCCTCGTTTTGGGTACTGGTCCTAGATAGATCTCTGTACAACTTCCAACAAACTGTGCTGATGGACGGTTCAGATCAAAAACATGCTTTGAGGACAAAACCATTGGATTTCTGTGAACAGACGAAGAAATGTGTTGTTTCTTACATCTCGATCAGCTGAGTTCTCACTGGAGTGGTACTCACATCGTCCTGCATACAGAGGCCCGAGGTCCTGCAATAAAATGAACAATATGATTGTGTGTTTTTACAGCGCAATTCAAGGCACTCGTCACCAATTTCATGACTAAAAACACCCCGTGTGTGGAGGCTGTGGTACTCTGGGCAGGTGGCCCAGGTTCGGGTCCGACCCGTGGCTCCTTTCCGGGCATGTCGTTCCCCACTCTCTCTTATTGTTTATTGTTTATTTGGATCCCCATTAGCCACTACCTAAGTAGTGACTTCTCTTCCTGGGGTCCACTCATACAAACATGAATTTAAAATCCACACAAATTAAATTATAAAAAAAAAAGTCCAAGACGGAACAGAAAAAGACAAAAAGAACACCCAGATGAACCTATTGCAAGTCAAAAAGGGTAATCTCTCAAATGTTCAGGTTATATCTATGCAATCAATAAATACAGTAACGTCTCTCTCCCTGATTTCTGAGCCTATTCACTCCAGGTTTATAATGTCAATAATTTGTGGGTTGTAATGTTAAGACCCAGTCCTTTAAAGGGTCTCTGTGTCAGATTTCCCCTTGTTATGGCTTGTATTGTCCTCTGTAAAGTCTTTTCACAAATTGAGCGTTTCCATTTTCAATCAAGTTATTAATCCTTTACATCTTTAACAGAACACCATGTTGAAATGTTGAAAACCAGTCTGTAGGTTCATTGTTCTTAGACGTTACACAGCCTTTTCTTTCTTCCGTCTTTGAATTCAGTTTCAGACGTAAAATTGTTTAAAGGCATCTACTCATTACATTGCATCACCTTGCTGTCACTCATGCTATGTTATTCAACAGTGTGTCTCTCTGTGCTTTAGTGAACTAAAAGTGATTAGTAAAAGAAAGATCCATTGTCCCTTCATTTGACACCACTGGCAAATGAGAATTTGATATCCCTTTTCACCCAGCCCTCACCCATTGTTGCATAATTGGTGAAGAGTGCATTAGAGGTTATTCATTGTTTGTGTACTTTGCCTAATGGAGAACAATCTCCTTTTACCACAAAATATATTTATCTTGCTGCAGAGAGTGCAGCAGCTGCAGACTGCCATATGTGAGCCAAATCCTTGCGAGAGGGAACATGTTAAATATATACTGTATCTAATGCAGAGTCTATTAAGCTTTAATGGGTAAGGCATTGATTGACCTTGTTATAAGTCTGTGCGTATGTGTTGTCCATATTAATTATTTATTAGTGTACTTTAATAAAATGAAACTGTAGTGATACTTACAATGTGCCTCGCTGCAAAGACTCCGTCGACAATCGCACAGCAGAAGGCCGCCACCACTCCGAAACTGATGAAGACGATAGACGCCACTAACTGTGAAAGAAAACATTACCATCATCACTAGTCTGTGCATCATCCTGCCTCTCTCTGACCGTGAACTCCTCTGGATGAGGATGGGGGGGGGGGGCTGAGTAAGGACAACGTTGACAGAGCGCTGTGGTTGTCACCTAGCTCCTGAGGTGTTTGTGGCTGGCATGTTGCCCGGCTCTTTATGGGCACTGAAACCCCTTAACTCCCCCCTGCCACTCGCCCGACTCTCCTCCTGTCACCTCTCAATGAGAGACAGCATGTATTCAGTTACACGACGCTGCATCCTGTCTGCAGCGGCCTGCGCTGGCAGGAGGGAGGCACAGGAGTGACGCAACTAATTCAGCAGCAAGTGATAACACTGATTCATGCCTGCGCCAAGATTTCTATGACACATTCAGCAGCATAAGGACATTTCAACTACATATTTTTATATTTGATCATTAACAGGCCTGAGACTTAATCTCGCAATCATTTTCTAATTGTGAACAACTTTACAACTATTTTCTGCATAACTAATGTCAGTCAGTTGTTTTATTTTAATTAAAGGATATCTACATTGTGGGTGTTCCTCTCTCTCTACTCTTCTCACAGGTTTCAATTGAACAACAAACCTAAGCTGGAAAAGTCAAAGTCGAGTTTGACCAAAGTTGTGAGGTTGTAGGCTACTGACAATCAAATCTGATGAAATCCAACAAACAGCCCCCATGAAGGACACCAACTTAGTGTTACACTCAATGAATTCAATCTGAGAATGTTTTCTTAAAATTCACTTCGATGGTAACACATTTAGTTATGAAAATTTTACGTTACATAGAAAAAGAACAATTTATCAGCTGTGTTTATTTTTTTAAAAGATCATTTATGACCATCGACAGATCCATTAGATCCTATATCATAGAAAGTAGAATGGCGAAATCTAAAAGCTACTTATAGCAATAATGACTTGGTTTATGCCTCATACTTTACTGGTTGTAATACTTTGGAAGTGGAAGCTCTCTTTCACAGTTTACTGTTGAGTTCTCTGAGCATTAGTGGAATCTCAGTTTATGTTTTCTATCAACTTCACATGATCCCAGCCATTTAAAGATAAACCAAATTATTGTTTCTCATGACTGAAAATGTGGGTTGTAACCATAGACTCTATGAAAAATTGGGGAAGTCTTAATGACGTCATGCTTTGGTTTCTGAAGAAGCTTTGTGAATGTAATCCCCACATAAATTTAAATCAATGCAGATACAGGCAAAGAGGTGGAGCTGAGGCAGGCCTTTAGCCTCCTGGCTAAAACAGCTACATAGAGCTCATCTCAGCCAAGTGTGCATGCAATTATGCACACTTATGTTTTACATTACTATAATCCAAAAGGATGTGTTTTAATTAAAATCACTTCATCGTTATTTAAGAATAAATAACCCAAAGAGCCCAAAGTCTGTTTATTTAACCAGGCTGTAAAGCAGGGACGCTGGAAGTCAATTTAAGTTTTGTGCTGAATGAAGTAATTCTATATAGTAATGTCACACTCTTTGCTATGTAAGTTCATAATCAACTCCTTTGAATGTTTAGGATTATTAATAGTTAGGGAATTAACAGCAGCTCATTGACAGATTGAGCAGATTTAAGAGTATTTTAGAATTCACAGGTCACAAAACTCACTCCGAAAGGGAACACCGACACGGCCTGAGACCATTTTAGAGCAGTGACAGTGACAAGTGGACGCACACAGAATGTGTGTTAAGAGTTGTTTGGACAGCATCAATTTGTTAACAGAGACTGTAAACACTCCACTGGTAGACTGAGTTACACAGAGGCACTGCTTGTCAACAGGCAAAGCAGGCACCTGTTTGGGGTCCCAGGCCACTTAGGGCCCCCGAGGGCTGACAAACTTTAAACCGCAGCAGTAGCTCAAAAATGTGCAAAGTTTGCAATGACAGTACAAAACCTCCCTAATGGGGCCCCATCAGCACTCACTCTCATTGCCCTGCTTTCATGTATTACTCCTGTGAAAAAACAAAGTTCATCAGTGAAAATTACTGAAAGAAAATGAAGAGGAATTATCTGTCTGGGAGAGAAAAAAGAAATAGAAAGAGCATCAGGACACTGTTAGATATAATAGTGGTTGAAGGGGCCCTCAATGAACTATTGTCTAGGGCCCCAACAGACTCTAGAATCACCACTGGAGTTACATAAGAACAGAAGTTTTTGTTTCTTGGCTGTCCACCTCTGTGCGTAATGCAAGGCTCCCTCTCCCTCTTGCTCGTCCGTACAAGCTCCCCCTCCCTCTCTCACAAGTTGTTAATTAAAGGATAATCAACTAAATCTCAGAATTCTCCGTTAACATCTGGTTGTGCTGCTCTGTCTGAGCCCACATCTTGATTACTGTGATTATGTTTAAAACCTCCCTGAAACAACTCAATGGTTACACAACAGGTATCTCTGACCTGCTGTGAGTTGTAGCTCTCTGTATGAAGTATTACAAAAAATGTACACACTGCTATAGTAAGAGGACAAAAAAAAAAGAGACCACACATAACGTTGTACTAGGTCTGAAAAATAAATTAAAAATAAATAAATAATAATGAAAGTTGTCCATCACTATTTAATTTTCTGTTCATACGCTTATTTATATGGCTGATTTATTTAGTAATGTCCCCCTAATACCCTAAACCATAAATAACGTCAGCACATTTACTATGCAGTAATATTTTATAGTCTATCACAAATCGAGGGCAGAGTTGTACAAGCGGTCATAGCTGGACATACATACACACACACACACACACACACACACAAACACACAAACACACAGACACACACACTCTCTGAATGGGACTGCATGCATCCCAACACTGTTGCATGATGGGAAAGGTGTGTCAGTTCAAACTCATTCTTCACTCAGCCCTGACAGTCCCTGCTTGGCATTTCCCACCTGCTCCTCTCATCTGCAGTTCCCTTCCCCACATTCCAGCGTGGACATCTGTCCTCCTCCACTTACACCCCATTTCTATTTCTGTCTGCGTCGCCCCTGAAGCCCAGGAGACTCGCACTGCAACACAAACTCCCTTAGGCGGAGTGGGACTCTCAGTTCGGGCTGGGTCTGCTGTGTATATTGTCAAATTAAGAACATAATCAAGCTGCCGGCTGTCGTAAGGGTAACTGGGACTGATAGAGCAGTTTAATGAGTGTGAGACACGGAGACGCCAAGCAGTAAAAGTGATCTCAATGCACTGAGGTAATATAAATCCTCTTACCATCTGCCTCTTGTTCTCTATCAAATGAGAGCCGATAATTCCAAGAAAAGAGCCAAAGCCCAGCTGAAAAAGAGAGAAAACAGCTGTTAGGGCGTTTATCTAATAAAGCTTTGATTTCATAGCACAGAGGGATGAATCAAGTGTTAAGTGTTTCTGCGATGCCCTGGGAGACATTTCAACAAGTTGACAAAATATTCAAATTAGTCCCTTTTAAAGATAAGCAAAATACATATTCATTTATGAGCATTTTTTTTAGATCAATGAGCTTCTCTGATTTCTCATGTTTGTATTCTCTTTTGTAAATCTCAGTACGTTTCTTTGATATATTTATTCTAAATTTCCCTTTATTTACTTTAATTTCACATTTTAAAGATTAGCGAGTTTCTGTTTAAAGTGTATTGTATCCTCTCACTTAACTCAGTAATTTCAGGTTAATCTATGGCGCTGATGAATTTGAAATTTCAGCATCTTAGGAAATGTTACCCCACAAACTGCTTTCTTTCCCTGCACGCTAAAAGTCGATAACTGTAAAGAAAACACATTTATGGGCTGACACACTTTGCTTCACTCAGCCTCTAATGACAATAATGCTGAATAATGAATGTGGGGGAGATTTGCCCCTCAGAGACTTTTCAGTAATGAGGCTCATCCGAGTCCAGGAGCGGGAAGCGCTGCCTCCAAACAATTCACTTATTATAAACTCTGACAGTGAACAGGCATTCTTCAAGGTGTGACCGTGCACTCACAATGACTCCTGGGTAGTAGCCGCCCACTGTGATGTTCTGCGTCCTGGTCGTCGCTGCCAGGCCAAAGATGAGGATGAGCACAGATACGATGAGCAGCAACACCGTCACTATTATGGATTTCCTCTTCCTCCTCTTAAAGGAACCTATAAGAGTAAAACAGAGTTCACATTTACAGCTTGTGCTCTCATCAGCAAAGTGATTAGAAATGAGAAGATGAAACTATAAACTAACTGAAAAAGGGAATTTCACCAACACATTTCTTTACAATGACAATAATTGTTCCTCTAACTGCTTCTCAAAAGTGTTTTTTCTGTTCTCTTCTCACCTGCATGAAGTCGATGGGGACTCAGCTGGATGAAATTAATGTCACATTGACGTCTGATGATGGCTGCGAGGTTGTTTGTTATTGCTGCAGGGCCATGGTATATCAAATCTGATCAAATCACACCCACAGGGTTGTGACAAAGCAGATTGATTGAAACTTCCCATAAATAATACCTCAAGATGTGTTGATAAGACACAACTTCAGACAGTCTGCGACACACAAACACAAACACACTCACATGAACTGATTAGCAAGTTTAACTAGATTATTTAGCCATGAGTCGATGACTCGAAAAGCAGCAATAACACTTTTTGCGACAGAAATGTTGTTTGAAGTCGAGGACTTCGCTCCTCCAGAGTCTCCTGTAGACCACGACCACGGCGGTCCAGAGCCGTATCAGTTTGAACCGTTAACACAGTCAGCGAGTGCTGAGACAGCCGATGCTGAGGATAGCGAAGATCAGGAGAGGAGATGATGCCCCACGTAGGATTTGTTATGGCTGTGAGATGTTTAAATAAATAGTTTTTGCACTTTATAATCGCCATACTTCGATTTATTTTCTATTTACAACAGCTTCTCTTATAGTCTCTGCATTAAGCTCTAGCCTACAGATTATGTCTGACAGTTCTTATAGGAATGGTGACAAAGCTGGTACAACATACGTCACCTGTCTACAGATCAGCCAATAGGAAATGTCAATTGCAGTAGCCAGGTTTCAACCTGTAGAGGGCAGTTGATGCATATTTCTAACACAATATGTCAAATCTAAATGCTTTGTACTCAAATGTCAATATTTGGACCCATATGAATCGACAGCACTACTAAATACTCACATACAAAGGTTTTCAGATGAAAGAAGGTTACATGAAATAGTGCCCTGTATGCTGGAAATCTTAATGCATACTAAAGGTACTTTACAACATCGCTTTACCTCGTCTCTGCTCGAGTCTGCCAACGTGTATCTGAGGACTTTGAAGGCACCATGTCTCTTTATTCGTGTTCCCTGCGCAATAACGTCCAGTCATCCTTCTGTACTGTTCCATTAATGAATACAAATGTTTCATTTAAAAGGTCGATTTAGGCTCAACAGCCATAGGTTCTTTACTCTAATATATGGATCCTGTGCGCCCTGCTTTAACCATGCCTTTGTTCAACCTAAGCACTTAAGGACAGGCAGAAGATTAAACAAAATGTACAGTCATTATAATACCCAAAGAATATGTCAAATAACCAGCATCTTAAAAATGTATAAATAATTACAAAGATGACTATAAGTTAGACATAAAACACACCTTAAAGTGCCAGAGGCTTACATTCATAGAGTCAAATAGCCTCATAGACTTTACATCTTTTAAACCACTCAGATTTAAAACAGTTATCTGAGACTCCTCCCAGAGGGCATCTCTTCAAACAGGAGAGCTGCTGGGTGAGAATCATCTCTAACAATATTCATTAAAGCAAGAGACGGAATTGAGCTGCCTGTAATTGTAGATGCAGTCTTCACTTTTTGTCTCTGATGTCTTTGTTTCAGTAGGAGCAATATTACAGCCAGCTATGATAGAGGAAGATCTGCCTGCTTCTGGTTGATTTAATCAGAATGTATTTATGTTCAGAAAGATTACTAAAGGACAAAAACTAATAACAGGAATCTTTGTCACCTCTTTTTTATCAATGTATGGAAGCCACAGACAGACATCACTGTGAGTGATGCGCCAAGCTGGAGATCAATAAAAAGAACATCCATGCTCATCACGGAAAGCTTATGGTTTCAGTCAAATGATAAAACAATGGTGCCTGCACAATGAAGGACACAGCCTCTCTGGGTTTTCTTTTAATCTTGAAATCTCAGCTGCAGCATTGGGAGTTTTGTTACAATATCAAATAAATTGTGAGCACATTTATTCTGTGACTATAAAACATGTTTAACACTTAACTCAAATAGGCCTATAATAACGTATCCCAAAATGTTGGCACTTTATTTATTAAGAGCGTTGTTTTACTGAATGTCATCTGACTCTTTGGGTGAAAGGGATTGCAACTAGAAATCACGCATGGCTACTTTAAGTGCAGTGGGAAATGATGTGGCACTACAAAAAAAACGAGAGGTGTAAATTCATGATTTTTGACTTACAATAAATGGTTCTCATCCAAAACTGACATGTCTTATATTGGATATTGTTCAATTGACATGGCAAAAGTGACACTTTGTACATGATTTCAAGAAGCAGTCACATATGGTGAAATCACATGTTCTTTCACAAAAAGTGCCCAACTAGAAATCGTTCTTCAAAGAATTGTTCAGTTGAATACACATCATCAAGTGCTATTAGCGTACTACAGCAACACTGTGTAGACTGAATCAACAAATCTATACCTATCTTGTGAGGATGACCTGCTTTAGACTGCAGATATCCATCCTTAAAAACAGATTGTCGAAATTGGCATAGTGGGCTACCTCTAGCAGGTGAGCCTCCTGCCAAATCTTTTGCCAGTGACCGATCAGAGCCAAACACTATAATAACACTGCCGGGGTTACTCAACGTCGCCGCACCTGCAGTGACGCGTTGCGGCCTGGGCCAGACAGAAAACACCATCCACTGTGATGCAACGAGTGTTTTTTGTCTGCCTTTGTGTGCAAAAAAAATAAAATAAAACGGTTGTTGCTGTTTTTCACCGACTTTATAAGAAATGCAAATGGTCAATATATTACCTGGTCGTTTTAAGAAGCTGTCTACCTTCACTAACATCCAAGCGTTAAGGAAAAGAAAATGAATACAGCCGATGATTTCGCCTAACAAAAACCTGCTGCAGACGCACCGTTGACCTTGTTCACACATACCTATGCTTGTTTCAGAGAGGGTCAGTCCGCTGGATTGAAGACTTTGAGGAGGCATGCTGCCTGCAGGATGTTAAGCGCAGTCCCTTTTGCAGTCCCCTCTTGCTATGTAATAACTAACAATCACGACTCGGTGATATGCGGTTTACATTTGGCAGCTATTCGCTGTGTACAATCGTTAGCTAATGCAGACGGTGGGCTCGCTTGCTGTTGCATTCTCTGACAACTCCGTCCCCCGCTGAGCCCGAGAGCCGTCTCATTTACATCCCCGAGGCTGACGCGTCAGGTCGGTCTCTGTCCTCACGGCGAGTCGGTGTTGGACAGTGGGTCGCTGCAGCTGGTGGTCGTATGTGCGCATGTCACATATATACTCAGACGGGCAAAAACTCCACGGTCATTACATGTAGCCTACTATTTGAAAGCAGACATAGGCCTATCAGTTTCCAGTTTCCACTGAAGTAAATATTAGTGAGGAGTTTTCGGCTCCTAAAGATAGCTAGTGACTGAAATAAATAGGTAGGGTATCCTACTATGACCCACAAAAGTAAAAGAGAATAAGAGAGAAGATAGCATTTTTCTACATCTGTCAGACAAGTCTATACAGCTTCCTGCAACATCTTTTAGAAAATCCATGCCAGAGATTCATTGTGAGTTGCACTTTGGTAATTAAAAAAAACAAAGGACTGAGATTTTTGTCAGAAAACACTACTCTTTGTGGACGAGGCAAGATTAGCAAAGAGATAAATAGTCCTGCTTTGTCCACAGGGGGCGCCAAAAATACACACCACCACCACAATGTCCCCTCACAGGAGCTTTAAAAAAAAAACCCACCACCGTGACAACTGCTGTGCCATTTTAAAATATGTGCCAGAAGGTGACTGCAAAAGATTGGATTCGCCTATAGTGGTTCAATTTCAACCTGCACTGAAGATCAATTAATGCAAGATCCAAGACCGTCGTCAACCATTGCATTGGACTAAGTAGGCCTAGGCTAGATTTAGTTTACTTTAGTGATGCGTCTCTAAGTCCTGATCCCGGCTTTATTGTGACGACTGCCCAATTTGATATACATACAGGTGAGCAGCGGAGCAGGTTGGCTCGTCTCGGAGTTCTGCAGTGTGCCTACACTACCCTTTTATTTCATGCCACCACTGTAGCACTCAGCTTAACCTATTATTTTAAAGATAATTTGAAGTTTCAAGCTCCCTTTTGTCTAAGTTTTTTTTTCCATTAGTAATGTTGAAACTAAGTTGAAACTACTAACTTATATTTGAAAGTGAAATAATCCTCTGCTATAAAGTACGACAGCTCGTTTGAATTTGTTCACATCGATTTCGGGATATAGCCTACATATCATGGTAAATGGTAAATGGACTTAAGTTTGTATAGCGTTTTTCTAGTCTTCGGACTACTCAAAGCGCTCTTACACCGCATGTCACATTCACACCCTTTCACACTCTGATGGCAATGTGGTAAGACAATCAGAAGTAACTAATCCCATTCTTTTGCATTCATACACCGCCGACAAAGCAGCGGGAGCAATTCAGGTTAAGTGTCTTGCCCAAGGTAACATCAGAAATGTTGCTGCAGGAGCTGGAGTTTGAACCTCATTTCAGCAGTAGGTCAGTAGGGACATGGGTTTGAAAACCAGAGGGTCACCAGTTTAAGTCCTGGTGGTATACCAAGTCTGGAAACTACCAATGGGACAGAAACACCCCACCAGCTCCTTGTGGGCAGCTCACTCTGACATCTCTCCATTGATGCATGCCCATAGGATCCTGTTTGTGCATGTAAATCAGCCTATGTGTGTGTAGCATGTTCAATAACAGAAAAAAATTGTAAAATTGAATTTCCCCTTGCAGGATTAATAAAGAACATCTTCTTTTTCTTCTTAAATTGGGACATAGCCATAGACGGTTATTTTATTTATTTTTAAATGTATTTATTTGACCTTTATTAGTTATTAGTCAAGAAGTAGAAATATTTAGGACTGCAGAGACTTTTAGTATTTTAATCATCCGTTAATTTTATTCATGCAAATTTAAATTAACATTGTTGTTTTCACTGTTTGTTAAATGTTTTAACTTGTGAGCCATGGGATACTCCTGACTTTCCCTCAGGGGATGATTAAAAATCTCTTCTTCAAGAGTGTCCTGGCCAACAGACAACAGGTAACAAAGATTTCTGAGTCGCAGTCATACATACAACATTGAAGGCAGGTTCAGTGGCTTAGATTCAGCATATGAAAATGCATTAATTTTGTTTTGTCTAATACCAAGTTGTAAATGGGAGAGTGTTTGGTCTGGGGTGGGTATTGTGCATTTTACATTTTCATCAGTGTATAAATGTTAACTGTTAACTGATCAGTCTGTGTTTGAGCACTGTGGTCCAAGTTGTCTAATGCCTTAGAAAGATCTATTAAAGAGGGCTGATGCTGTTTAGTATCAATACATTTAATGAATGACATTATAGTGATCAGGGGAAGATTAAAAACATATGCTAAAGGTGGGGCAATACATTGTGATAACTTTAAAAGGGATAGAGCTCCAGTTTATCAGGGTCTGCAGATTGTGCTGTGTTCAAAGGTTTGAGGGCTTCAAAGTTTGTAATAGGACTGAAATAAAAGACTTGTTTGATAGATCCTGTACATCTGACCCAATTAGAGGGAAACTCATGTCTTGCATTAAAAGAGTCAGGCAAAGAACCAGAGGCTACACAATGTTCAATAAAACAACCAAGTATTATGACCTTGTCAGTGTTCATTTTAAAAGTATTTTACGATGAATAATAATTGAATAATCCATAAATTTTTGATGGATTATTAAGATTGTTTATGGTTTGAGAAAGGAAATTATTGGCATTAGCTTTTCTGATTTATCAGTATATTAATTTCATATTTTTAGCTTTTGCCTTGTGTATTAGGATAGATGGAGCAACATCCGCCTGCAATGAAGCCAAATATTAAGTGCTCCCTCTGCTGACTGACTGCAGTATAGGCCATAAACTCACCATGACTCAGAATCAGAATCAGCTTTATTGACCAGGTATGCTTACAAGGAATTTGACTTTGGTGAACTGAGCTCTCATATGTTCATAAATACAACAATAAACACAATAAACAGATGGGACATAGATCAAAAATCATAACCAAATTAGAAGCCTGACTGTGTGCGTTGACTAAACTGTAAACGATTTTGAAGGCACTCCTTTTTAAATAGCCTAACAATTTAAATCACTTAAACATTTTGGTTTATGGGTCATTTAAGAGATGTTAACTGAATCATCTTGAGATTGCCCAGATTCAACACGTTCCTGACCTAAGAGTTTAATGTGTTTTTTTTAAAATCTAACAAAATCTCTATTTTAAGTGATTTGACATATTTGTCTGTGTACAATGTTGTGCAACCTGGAAAAGCGCAACAAAAAACTATCAGAAGGCAATTATATACTCAAAAGCATAATTTTATGTTCATCTTATTGAAGCAAACCACTCTAACCCAGAAACTTTAACACTTGAAATTGATAATTGTTGTTGATAATTGTAATTGGCTTCACACTGAAATCTTCAAAGGGGACCCAGAACTCCTGGTAACACCCCTGTCCCAACTGAATCCTATATGAAGACTTTACCTACCATGTAAAAAAAAAACATTTTCTTTTGTATTTTTTATGCCTTTGAAGACTGTCTGTGTATCTGACACGGGTCTCTGGATAACTGCCATGGTTAGGGATGAAATAAGAGGAGTCAAAACTGAGCAACCAGTGCCATCATCTGTCAGAATCAAAACATTGCAGTCTGTTGTGTGAAATAGTGAAGACAGGAAAGCAGCACTTCGGTTATCCATCACAGGGATTTGGGCTGCCTAACATGCTGAATTCTGTTTTACTGAAGGTAAGTTATAGGAAGACGGATAAATACAATTTAAAATGATTACTGGCCGTGTTAGAAACTGTTTCATATTATCTAGATCTATGCCAAATGTGGGAACATTAACATGAAAAACGTTTATTTTATCTAATTCTATTCTGTTTATCTTGTCCAGTTTACTGAAATAAGGACATATTAACTATATTTTGCCGACTTCCTCAGGGGGTTGCAGTCCCAGTGAGTGACCTTATTATGCCCAAAAACCTAAAGCTCTGAACATAGACAGCAATAGGCAACTTTTCCACATTTAAAATCAGATCCCTTTGTTTTGAATGTATGAAACAGTTCTGTATTTATTTTTAACAAAATCCAGAAATCATCCTTTAATGTGACAGGAACATTTTCACCAAAAACTCACATTATAAAGGTTTTTAATTTGGAAGATTAAGTCTAACAGTTTGCTAATGGAGGGTTTGTCCAAAGAAAATAATTGCAATAACTCTTATATAAAGTGATCGTGGTTTGTGAAAATGAAATAGAAAATTCATGTCACTATGTGCATACTACCTGGTCTTGAGGTCGTCCTTGTCTTTGTCAGCTTAATTCCCTTGGACTCTATCACACCTTAGATTAGTGACCAGGTAATACAGCACAAAAGGAGAACATTGTACTTCTAGGGATGAATGTAGAGTGAGCCCTGCAGCTCATTTCCCCCCAAAGTTTTCATTGTTTTATGTAAAAAGTGACTTTGTTAATACAGAGATGTGTTTTATATTGATAATAACTTTACATGAATATTCTTTGTGCAGAGTTTTTGTATTCAGAAGTGTTTTTGCCCACAAATAGGCCTATCTGTGGGCAGCTAAATGTAGCTTGCTTTCAGTACAGTGAGTATTAAGTTGCTGTAGGAGCTCTTAAACTCCTGTGGTGAATGTGTACTTTTATGTTGCTTAGATAAAGAAAAACTTTATCAAGTGTACTTTATTTTAGATGTTGACTTGAATGGATATTTTTCTCTCTAAAACCTGTGGAAGAAATGATGAATAATTTTGCGCTTTAAGAACTCTGAAGCTGAAACAAATGTACATGCACATGTATGTTGTAAGAATTGAATGAAGTTTCAATAAGAGATGTAACTTTGAATGCTCTTGTGTCTTCTTTGCTGCTGCATTTTTCCTGTATTTTGCAGGATCCATTGTTGTTGCTGTGGTAGGCCTAGCATTTCTGGGACTCGTAACACATGCAGCCTACACCCTTTTAGGACAAGGCACTGAATAAGTAGAATTTAAGCAAATAATGCAGTATTGTAACTTATAAATGGCATGCAGACTGAAAATAAAGTTCTCAAATCATGACTGCATGTTAGACCAACAGAACCATTAAATTAATTCTATTTTGTGAAGCTTTTGTGCAAATTTCTTCATGAGTCTTTATTTTCTGCAGAGGTCCTTTTGTGGTTAAAACTTGCTGGGTTTTGCTTTCAAGTGTGATAGGCTACATGAAGAACACACACAGAAGAACACGAGCACTCTTTTGCCGCGAAAATAACCAAGAAGGGATTTTTTTTTTCCATGACGCAAATTCTCTTTTCATGTAAATAGAAGAGGAGGGGGAACAAAACTCTCCAAAGTCCCC